GTCTGCAAAGTATCCCCCGAAACTCGAACAAGTGACATGTGCAAATAATTTCACATTTATCTCTCTCGTATGCCACGATAAACGTCTTTTTCCTCCGATGGCCCTCAAACATAATGGTCTCCCGTACTTCATACGTTATATTGGAACATCTTTCAGAAGTGGATAGGATATCACAATACACCTTTCCTATGAACTCTGCCTGAACTTCACGAAATTTTGAAATTGTGTAAACTGATTGATACTGTTGCTCCATTTCAAATTGTGTTGCACAGGGCACCATCTGCGAAAATGACTTAAAATCAGCCTGAAATTCCTTCTCAACCTTACTCCGAAGAGCACGTTCATACTGTTCGACGAACTGCTTCAACGAGGTTTTCGAATGCACATAGCCATCAAAAAATGCATTCATGCTTTCACTTCGTTGTGTAGTTGACATACCCGCCCAGAAAGTGGTTTTCAAGAAGCAAGGAACCCAATGTCCCCTATTCTCGTACAATCCAGATAACCAATCACTATCATGTAAGTCATACTCCTCAATCATTGCTCTCCAACCGTCTTCAAATTCTGCATTGGATTGCGAATCATACACCAGACCATGTATAGCCCCGAATATCGAACCCTTATCCACGTGATAGCCAAATTTCTCTGGCAACTTCTTCAAAATGTGCCACAGACACCATCTATGTTTTGTATGTGGGAAAACAATATGAATTGCATTTTGCATTGCCTTATCTTGATCAGTAATTATACCATGTGGAGCTTGGCCATGCATGCATTGAAGCCATGTCTTAAATAACCATATAAAAGTATCTGTGTCTTCGTTCGATACCAGACCACAGCCAAGTAGTGTTGATTGCCCATGATGATTTACTCCGACAAAAGGGGCGAACGGCATGTCGTACTTATTAGTCAGATAAGTGGTATCGAACGTAACAACATCACCAAACTCCTTGTAAGCCTGCCTACACCGATTATCTGCCCAAAATACATTTCTCAGACGTGATTCGTCGTCCAAATCGATACTGAAATAAAATCCTGGGCATTGTGCTTGCATCTTCGAAAAATATGTTTGAATCGCTGCTGCATCTCCTTCTCCAAGTCTTAAGCGTCTTACTCGGTCTATGTAGTTACGACAATCCTTTTCAATACATGTCATGTTCTCATATCCACCTGCTTCGACAACTACAGCATTATAACTTTTATGCAATGGGATTCCTGCCAAATCATTCACTTGAAGCTTTTGTTTCACATGTGTGCTCATTTGTCTGTTACATCGATATAATCTGGATTTAGAAGGACTTATGTTATGATTATGGTCGAGGTTTACAGCGTTAATTCTCCAATTCCCAAAAGTATCAGAAGATGCAGATATTCTAGCTTTACAACCCATCTTCACTGTTGGATGCGGCTTCAAAGAACCACTGCTATTACTGATTATTCCGCCTTCACGACTACAAGTCAATGTCAAATATCTCAAAACCCCATCATTCCCTTTCTTTGAATTTCTTTTCTTGATTGGAAAACCCAATGCATAAGCATATTTCTTGTAGAAATCATACATATCTACTTCACTTTTAAACAACATACCCACTTCAGGTACAATTATAACATCTCCCCCTACTGTTACACCTTCCACTACGTTCACGGACTCCGTTAA